AGATCTCTGTGAGTTCGAGGCCAGCCTGGTCTACAGAGCTAGTTCCAGGACAGCCAGTGCTACACAAAGAAACCCTGTCTCGAAAACCAAAAAAGAAAAAAGAAAAAAACTGGAAATAATGTGAGTTTTACAATACACTAGAAAGGCCCAGCGTTGGTGGCGCACGCCTTTAATCCCAGCACTCGCGAGGCAGAGGCAGGCGGATCTCTATGAATTCGAGGCCATCCTGGTCTACAGAGTGAGTTCCAGGACAACCTCCAAAGCAATACAGAGAAACCCTGTCTTGGAAAAAAAAAAAAAAAAACACACTAGAAAGAACACTTTAAAACCACCTTTGGCTCTGCCACTGACTACTGGCTGTAGGACTTTGAGCAGGTTTCTTGACTTTAATGAGCATCACTTTTCTCTTCCATAAAGCGAAGATAATAATAGCACGCTGGTCTTGCTCATAGGAGTGTCAAGGACACTGAGTTGCAGAATTGTATCTATAAGCATCGCAGAAGAGAATCATCCAATAGCAGTAAAGTTCTGAGTCCTTCACAACCATCAAAGAACTGGCTGGCTGGCAGACTCAGTGCAAGGTGGTATAATGTGATGGAAAGAGCAGTGAACTGTGGTGAGAGTGTTCTGATCCCACCCCCACCCCTATTCTTTTTTGTTTGTTTGTTTTCCAAGACAGAGTTTCTCTGTTTAACAATCATGGCTGTCCTGGAACTCCCTCTGTAGTCCAGGCTGGCCTCCAACTCACTGAGATCCACCTGCCTCTGCCTCCTGAGTGCTGGGATTGAAGGAGTGCACCACCACCATTTGGCCCACCCCTACTCTTAAACAAGAAAAGTTAGTTGTGCTGAGGTTTGGTATCCACATCTAGTTATAAAATAATAAAATACTATACCCACAGGATTGTGAGACTTAAATGACATAATATGTTTAAATTGCTTAACACTCTGTTTACTTGTTAGCAGGTTCACCATAACATTGTTTTGTCTCTGTTTTCTGGTTTTATTGGGTTTGGCTTAGTCTAATTCAGTTTGGTGCCTTGAGGCAGGGTCTAGCGATGTAGGCCTGCCTGCCCTGAAACTCACCAGACCAAGCTGGTCTCAGACTCAAAGGATTCTCTTATTATCTGCAGAGTGCTTGGATTACAAGTGTGCACCAGCATGCCCAGCTACGGGTGTTATTTTTATCATCACTAAAGCTACCTCTAAGTAGTACAAGAGAGAGCTGGACCCAGCACAGCAAGAAGTGGCATTTGGGGTTGTTTGCTCTGTCTCTCACCTTCTCTCCCTCTCTCTATCTCACATTCTCATTTTTTTATCTGTTGGCATTTGGATTATTTTCCACTACATGAGGCTCATCTTCGACAGGCTCTTTTTTGTTTTGTTTTTGGTTTGGTTTGGTGTTTTGTTGTTGTTGTTTTGTTTTGTTTTGTTTTTTGGTTTGGTTTGGTTTTTTTTTTTTTTTTTTTGAGACAAGATCTCACTATGCTGTCTCAGAACTCACTATGTAGACCAGGCCGGCCTCAAACTCACAGAGATCCACCTGCCAAGTGCTGGAACTGAAAGCACACACTAGTAGGCTTAGACAGGCTCTTTAATTGCATCTATTTTACATGTCACTGGTCACCTCTCCAGCTGAAGAATGCCATGGAAACCCTTTTTAGAGAGTCCAGGGGACAAGTGGGTATGAAAAGGGCCACAGTATGAAAAGTTTTTCCTGCATCTGTACACTTGATCTTTGCCCAGTTAGGTCCACATGCATTAGGAAAATTCCTAATTGGAAAGCAAGCTACTTCACGATCTAGTCAGGAACCGCCTTTCCAGCCTCGTCTCAAGAAGCTTAGCTATCTGATAGATGGGCCAGATACTGCTGTCTCCACTCCTGCCTTGTCCAGCAGCATCTGGGAAAGCCATGGATGTACCCGGGAGGTGGAGGACTCTAGAATTAGCCCTAGATTGGCATTGCACAACTACCACCCCTTAGGTTGGCATTTAGAGCCACATCATCAAAATCTTTGTAAAGTGATAGCAATAACCAGTTCACATGGGGTTTTTTAAAGACTAGAAAAGGTAATGAGTACCATACACATGCTACCCACATAGCATTTAACTGTTTTCTCTGCTTCCCTGCCTGTGTTCTGTCAAAGATTCTTCATTTTACCCTCTCTGACACTCTTATGGATTTGGGAGCACAAAGCACGTTTCTAAGGGATTTGAAAGAGAGTGTTTTTGCTAAGGCTGAGGCCTGCTCTGGGCATTGGAGTGTTAAGAGTAAGCAATATACCCAGGGAAAAAAGGAAAATTTCTCACTAGGAGGAAGGAGGTCTTGTGGTTGCAGGCACCAGAGTGATTCAGCACCGAGAGGAAGCCATGAGAGGCTTGGCAGAAGTGACCCAGACAGAGCCTTCTTTTAAAAGCTCTTGCAAGGCAAGAAGACAAGATGGAGCTCTGTGAGCTTGAGATAGGGAAATGTGTGTAGGAGTCCCCTGGGTAGGGAAGGAACAAACACCCACTTAACCTAAGCCTGTGGCCAGCCAAGCACTCTGCTTCCAGCTCTGGCTCAGAAGCACCTGTTTCCAAAAAAAGGGGGAGAGGACAGATGGGTAACAGGGACAGAGAGTCCATGAGGCTGATCCCTGAACTCCCTGGGGCACGTCTTCCTGCGCCAATGGAAAGAAAGTAAGCAGGGAAATGTGAACCCACTGGGAACAGAGAGGAGAAAGGACACAGCCCCCTGGCGTGGGTAGGCTCCCTTCCCCCAGGCTGGCCAGAGCCAAAATCTCCTAACTTTCTCTGACCTTTAGACTCCAAGTCCTAACAGCAGAACCTTAACACTTAACCGTGAAAGGGAAGGAGGGGAGGGCTCCCCACCTACTGAAGACTTATTTCATGGTCTTATCAGTCCTCAATAATGGTATCCTTGAGAAACAGACTGCCTTTCAGAGGTTCACTGACTACCCAGGTAATGGTTAGGGTCATTTTGGGCACGAGAAGCTTTGACATTTGACGGTCTGGGTTTCAACCTTGACTTCGCCATCCTTGGCAGTTAACGTATTTGTGCTTCCCATCTCCATCCCTCTCCCTCTCCCCCACGCCTCTTTTTCCACAGGGTCTCACTAAGCTGCCTTGGCTGGCTGGATAGACCAGACTGGCCTCAAACTGACAGAGATCTGCCTGCCTATGCTTCTTGAGTGCTGGGATTAAAGGTGTGCACCATCACAGGCCCAGCCTCTGTTTTCCCATCTTTGTTTTGTTGTTGCTGCTGCAGGTTAGTGGATTTTAGTGGAACAAATAACTACACAATAAAATCTTATTTAAAAAATACGGAATTCTTTATGAATTTGCATTTCATCCCTGCACAGGGATCATGCTGATCTCTGTATCATCCAGTCTTAGTATCTATGCTGCCAAAGTGAGCACCATTTTCTCACCTTTGAGAAGAAGATTAAAAATGTATATTTAGGGCTGGTGAGGCAGCTTAGTGGGTAAAAGCTCTTGCTATAACCCTGATGATATGAGTTCAATCCCCTAAACATATGCTGGCAGAATCTAACTGACTTCGGAGCCAGCAAGATGGCTTAGTGGGTAAAAAGCACATGCCACCAAGCCTGATTATTCCCAGGAACCACATGGCAAGAAGAAAGAATTCCTTCCCACAACTTGTGCCTTATTTCTTACATGCATGTTCATGTGTACAAACACACACACACACACACACACACACACACACACCATTTTTTTATAATATATTTATTTTCATTTTTTTTTTTTTTGAGACAGAGTTTCTCTGTGTAACAGCCGTGGCTGTCTCAGAACCTCTCTGTAGACCAAGGTGGACACAAAATCACAGAGATCCGACTGCCTCTGAGTACTGGGATGAAAAGCCTGTACCATCACTGCCCGGCTATTTATTTTTAATTATATGTACATGTTTGTGTTTGCATGAATAAATGTCACCTGTGCTGGTGTCTGAGGAGGCCAGAAAAAGGCATCAGATTCCCTGGAGTTACAGGCTGCTGTGAGGTACCACACAAATGCTGGGGCCTGAGTTCGTGTCCTCTGGTAGAGCAGTGTACTGGCTGGTTGACATGGAAGGGTCCAGCTCACTGTGGGCAGTGCCACCTCTGGGCTGGTGGTCCTGGGTGTTCTAAAAAACAGGCTGAGCAAGTCATGAGAAACAGGCCAATACACAGCAGGTCCCTCCATGGTTTCTGCTTCAGTTCCTGCCTCCAGTTTTCTGCCCTGCTTGAGTTCCTGACCTAGTATCCCTGAGCAAAGCTGTCATGTGGAATTGCAAGATGAAATAAACCCTTTCCTCTCCAACTTGCTTTTTTGGTCAGGGTGTTAGAAAGCTAACAGCAAGCAGTCTTAGCCACTAAGGCATCTTAAAGATAACTGATTCCAGAGGGTTGACCTCTGACCTCCACACAAGCACACAGGTACACACACAGCACTAGCACACACATGTGAGCCCACTCAGGCAAACAAATATACACACAACACCTATAAAAATACTGTATGCGTCGGGCATTGGTGGCACATGCCTTTAATCCCAGCACTCAGGAGGCAGAGGCAGGCCGATCTCTGTATATATACAATATATATACAATATATATATATATTGTATGCATGTATATAGATATGTGAAAAAAATATATATATATATGTTTATTGGATAATCTTTTTTGTTCATTAGGGAACAATGCAAAGTGGGAGCTCACAGAGTCCTGGTTCTTGGTAAAGCCCTTCAGTAGCACTTCAAACCACAAGAAAAAAACAAAGATTCTAAGATGAAGCACCTTCACTGCTCAGTCAGAACTCTCCCCTGTCTGAAGACTCCTATCTTAGTTAGGGTTTCTAGTGATATGAGGAAGCACCATGACCAAAAGCAAGTTGGGGCAGTATATTTGACTTACACTTCCATCATAGTCCATCACTGAAGGAAGTTAGGACAGGAATTCAAACAAGGCAGGAACCTGGAGGCAGCATCTGATGCAGACAGAGGCCATAGTGGGGTGCTGCTTGCTCAGCCTGCTTTCTTTTTTTATTTTTTTTATTTTTTATGTATTTGAATTACAAACAAGATTGAATTACATGACAATCCCAGTTCTCTTCTCCCTCCCTTCCTCCCCTCCCACCCCCAACTAAAATCCTACCTATCATATGTCCTTTCTTCTAATCTACACCTGACTCAAAATTTCTGCTTCCTCATGACCTCTGCATCCTTCCTTTTCTTCCCCTCTCACTCTCGTAGCTTCCTCCCCCCTCTTGCCATGTTCTCAATTTGCTCAGGGGATGGTGACCCTTTCCCCTTCTCCAGGGGACAAAGTTTGTCTCTTTTAGGGTCTTCCTTGTTTACTAGTTTCTCTTCAGCCTGCTTTCTTATAGAACCCAGGACCACCAGCCCAGGGATGGCACCATCCACATGGGCTGGGTTCTTCCCCATCAATCACTAATTAAGAAAACACCCAAGCCAAGAGGGTGGTGCAGGCCTTTAATCCTACAGTCAGAGGCAGGTGGATCTCTGCGAGCTCAAGGCCAGCTTGGTCTACAAAGCAAATTCCAGGACTGTCAGAGCTGTTACACAGAGAAACTCTGCTGTCTCTGGAGTGGGGGGAGCAAGGAAGGAAGGAAGGAAGGAAGGAAGGAAGGAAGGAAGGAAGGAAGGAAGGAAGGGAAAATGCCCTATAGGCTTTCCTACAGCCTAATCTTATGGAGTCACTTTCTCAATTGAGGGTTCCCTCCTTTCTGATAACTCTAGCTTGTGTCAAGTTGACATAAAACTAGCCAGCACAGCTCTCATTACTGCTATCACCTCATCCCAGAACAGACCCCCTCGTGCTATTTACTCCAACCACGAATAGTGTTTGCTGCCTCCCTCCAGAGGAAGGGCAGACTGTCTATTCACCTCCTGGTAACAGGTGCCTGGCAGGGAGTGGCAGGAGGATCCAAACTGAAGCAGTGTGTGTCATTCACTCATCAGTTATTTATTGTGTGCCAAGCACTGGAGTAGATGCTGGGAATGCAGTAGTCAACAAAAAAATGACCCAACCTCTGTCCTCAATGTGCTTACAATTTAAGAATCAACAACGTAATAAGCAATCATTTAATTTTGAAAGGAAACCTGGCCTGGAGGCTGTCTTCGGACCTAGGAACCAGACACATGCTACAGAAGAGGAGGGGCCTCACCAGCCTTGGAGGGGTCTTAATCTCTACGGTGCAAACTTGGCGGGATGCAGCCTTGGATCAGGGGAGCCTCACTGGGCATCTGAATCACCATGGATACAAAGGTTATTTCCAGCATTAGTTTGTTGTCTCTTGTTTTGCAAACAGCATCACAGAGCCTCCCCCTTCCACCACCACTCCCCTCCAGATCGAGGCTATTTATTCTTAGTGACAAGCCTGAGGATCCCAGGGGGGGTGGCCTCGAGGACCTGGATGGGCCTTGTGTCCCTGGCAGGCGCTTGTCTTCCCTTCCCGGCACAGGGCAGAAGCTGGAGGATCAGAAACTGTATAAGTCCCCTCCCTTCTCCTTCACCGCCCCTGCCTGCAGCAACATAGCCACTCACACTCTTCACACCCCTCCCAAGAAACCAAAAGCTCATTGAGCCAAGGATTAGGGTCTCCCTTAGCATGAAAGGTCAAAACTATTCCTGGGGCACTGTAGAAAGCTCAGCGCCAAGGTACATCTGAGGTTGGGGAGGGAGGTTGTTGCCTGGGCTTTCGCCACTCAGTTATAGAATAAAGCCCTTTGAAATTGAGGAGGATAAAGCTCTCTCTCTTTAGCCCAAGTTTCTAGAAAATACCTTGATCTCCACTGCTAAGGCTATGCCAGCAGAATCAAAACCACCCCCTCCTGCAGGCTGGATTAAGGCCTCCTTCACAAGCTAAGGTTTAGTGTAACATCTAGGGATGAGCTAGGAGGAGATGATGAGGGGGTTTGACCCCCCCCCCAG